GAAAATATATTGTGTAAATATATAGAGCTTAAGTATACATACGGATCGAAGATAAAAATATAATTTTTCAATAGGATAATATATCTTGTAATTAACATTCATATTTTATAGAATTCTCTTAAATGCATTAGGCATTTCGATATGTTTTGAGTTTTTTCTTACACAGGTAGATTAACGTTTCGGGAAATATCGAGAGATAGTAGAAGATTGATAATATGTCTTCAGGGGACTCTCTTGGCGATTATAGCACCGGTGGCATGGAAAGCAACGGTTCGCTAAGAGCTTTTTCTTTTCAAGACAAAGGACAGATTATTTCTACGGATATTGAGATTAGAGCATTTTTGTCATTATCTGTTTGCTGTTGTTGTTATTGTTGTTGTTATTGTTGTGTTGTTATATGCGAATGTGATTTCAAAAAACTCTTAACATTGCGCCTCCCACGATTACGCTTAAAACATCGTGCAATCATTCTGAAACGATTATTATTTAACATTATACTTTCTCTGACGACAGTAACGATTAATATTATAATGAATTTTTCCACAGAGTAATGTTTGACATAACAATAGCCACAGATAATATATATCGTATATTTATAATATTACGATTTCATTATTACAGTTAATAGAGCGATTTCCGCGATATTATTACTCGACAGAGAGCGATTTCTGCGATTGATGTTTAACAGAGCGATTTCCGCGATTTTTAATAACTTTCCCTTCTTAGTACTTGCTTGGAATTTTATCTTTTTTTTTTTAAACGAACAATACGCACACTTATATTTGCCACTAAGAGTTAAAAGTGTCTCATCTTTTCCTTCGTCATTGTATATGTGTATATTTATATATAACTCTATATCTCTGAATGTAGCGGAGACAAATGTTTCCCTCTTTGATATGTATCGTTTATAGCGTAATAATCCTCCTACATTCTAAAATGTGTCATTTTCCAACACAATGTGACTTAGATTACGATATACACACCGACGGTGCGCGAAGTTCTTTTTAGAGAAGGGTAGGGATAAATGTATTTGACATAGAGTCGAGTTAAACGTCTAAGTACGTACGATTTCTAAGGGTAAACTCGAAACATCGATTGAATTATAAGGTACTTGCGCCTCTTTCAGCTCTCTTCCCCCAGTAGAAAATACTTCTCCATCATTAAAACCGTTCTGAATGACACCTCGCGTTTCTTGCGATGTCTGCCGGACGACCGTTCGTATAATGAGAAAGAAAAATAAATACTTCGATCTGTGCGTTTGAATAATCAACGGGATGTGCAATGGCGGACTTATGGCTAACCGGTTTCTTGGAGTTTATTAGGGACCTGTGTATTATCGAGTTTCCCCAAATCGTTGAGCTGATTTATGACTGTTTATATGCTTATAACATTCATATTTCAGTAACAAAGTGAAAAATGTTTTCGTAATATTTTTGGCTTGCTAGAAATGTTATTTTATTTGAGCCTTAAATCCGCCATTGCAGACGACTTCTTTCGTCACGTCCTGCTGGCATCCCGACTCATTAAATTCATTCAAGAACTCGAATTAAAGATACAAGTCAACTTACAATCGTTGACGATACTTCTGTTTCTTTTAACTGCACTTTCTTCATTTTGTTATTCAAAATTGTGAAATATGCATTTCACAAACAGTACAGAAGTTTAAAGCGCTTTCTAAAAAAATTCAAAAGACACCTCAAATTTAGAAAATGTCTCTTTTAGAATTATTAGATTTCATTCTCTTTTAGATTTTGATTGGGTTATTTTTATTTTAATATATATTTTAACTTTGTGTTAGAAATGCTTCTCGTATATCATCTTCTTTTTGCATAAGATTATTTTTGTTATTATGAAATTAACAAATTTTAAATCAATTTTGACTTTATACGCAGTGAAAATGTATGAAAATGCAGTTGAAAAGCACAGTTTCTTACAATTTAATTATCATTCACGGTATCGACATTGAAATTTCTCGCATTGAGGGCAATCTCATTTGCAATGCAACCACATTGTTGTGTCAGCGGTCATGATCGGTTATTCTATTGCTTCGAAAATTTTCGAAAGATAGATTTTATCATTTGAAATATCTTACAGATTAGCATAACGAGAATATCACCGATTAATAAAAATAATAGTCAATGTTGACACTGCGACGATAACAAGGACTTTACTTCTCCCTTTGTGCACGCCTCTCATTTATTATATCTTATTTCTATGACCATGACTTATCGCGAACAATTAAGTGCTTCACTAAACTTTCTCTACAATTCGAAAGAAAAGCTCAACCGGTAGACCGATAGATAAACCTTCTTTCGAGCTTTTCTTTACACCTTAGTTTTATATCATTAAGAAACATCTTTGTCGAACGGCGCTTTTAAACATCAGCGCACTTTCCTTATCATAACTACGCTAGCGTGTCCCTTATCCCTAGAGACCTATAAGACGGCTTACTATGATATGTGTTATAGGTTTGTCAGTCGCGCTATATTCGAAGAAGAAACATCCTCGAAGTAACATCTCCCCGAGTAATATTTAACTCCAATTTTTTTCGCACGCTATCATCATACTTTCCGGTGCATCGTGGCATGGAGTAGAGTTAGGATTTGGAAGGAGATTGAATGTAATGTCGAATCGACAGACTTAAACCTAGGTACTTCACAACGACTAAAGGAGGATTTGATTTTCTCGTAGCTTATCTTATATACTTCCCATCCGTTGTGATGATGCGCGAGCGTTTAGGCGAATGGCATCCGCTTGAATAGGCGGTTGCCCTGTCCGGTGATCCGTTTCTCGCCGGAAGTGTATTGGATCACGGACTTTATCTGATCCGTCGCTACCGGGCCGATGCAAACCAGAGGATCCTTGAAGTACGAGCAAACCTGCCGAGATTTTGCCATCGTCAGAATTATATAAAACAAGATTTTTTTCATTGTTAGACTTAAAACGATCGTTTTACTCTCGATAAGATATTAAAAAAGATTTATATTCATAGAACGGTATTATAAGACATTTCTTTTTACATATACAAAACATTCCGTCAAAGAAATCAAATTTTTTGAACACGTTTTTTTTTTTAAATGTTAGATGTAACTTTATGTTTTACAATTCATATAATAATTGATACGTATTGTTACCTTTCTAGGAGTTTGCCGGTGTCGCCTTTGTAATTGGCAGCACAGTCCACGGCTGATATCACACTCGCTTGACATAGTGCACTCCTCATCTGTAAGTACATTATATTTGCTTGATAGAATCTTTCCATAATCTTAAGTAACTGTGTATCCAAGCAAAACACGTCATCACGTTATTAAAATGATGTCAAAATGACTCCAAAATGATCACTGAAAGTCACTTTTCAATCATTTACGATTCATTTTAACGTCGTTTTGATGTTATCGTGTCTTATTGTTCTTGGGTATATTTTAAAAGAGCAGAATATATATTTGTCAACGTACTGTATAATTTGTTTGAAGTGGTCGGTGGTTGACACGATTTTGTTTCCCGTCCAGGCATTTCGGCACACATTAAACCAGTTTCGCAATCGCTATCCCGTCTGCAAAGTTCGCCTTGTTTCATACCAAAGTCGGAAACACATGTTCCAACAACTGAAACATTAAACTCGTGATTATTTTCTTATCGACAAAACGAAAAGAATGAGAAATAATTCAGGAAACAAGTTGACATTATTTGTCGTCATTTTAATGTTCTAATGTCGTCAAAGACGTAACAGCTTGTTTCCTAAAAAGAGCTTTATTAATTTTAATTGAATAAGCTTTAATTAATTAATAGGAACTTTTAATTGTGAGATATTTTGATTTACCTCCATCGAGATTTACACAAATGGAACCCGGGCAACAGTGATCATTATACACGCATTTTCTCTCGTAGCAAGGTTCTTCCGTTGGTTCAACTCCTTCATACATACCACCATATCCTTCCTGGATTGACTGCTTTATTTAAAATACAAATTATATTTTAAGATCCTAAATGCATTATTTAGAATTGAATACATTTAACAATTTTTAAATTACGAAATAATTTATTAAGAAAAATTAAAAGTGGGACGATAAAAACAATTGTTATTTTCTCTTTAATCAATAATTATAGTAAATGGAATAGAATTATTTGTTGGAATTGTTTCGAAATCTGTAAGAAACGGCAGCCTATTTTTTCTTTGTTGATTTTAATTTATTTAGTCATTTATTTCTAATTTACATCCGTAACTTCGATAAATCATTATTATCATTGTGTCACGTGATGCTTTTCTTTCGCTTTTCTTTATCGCAGACAAGTGTGAGTTAAATGATAATGCATTTGATACTCTCTTGCTAGATTAAATTTATTTATGTAATTTTGTTTAGAATATTTTGCAAATTCACTGTTCTTTAAACAAATGAATATATAAGTAAAATAATGATGAACATGTTCATCGTCAAAGACATAATAGCTGGCCGCGTTTTGATATACTGCTAGTATTAAAAATATATAATTTATGTTACGCGTATTATAGATTTTCAGTATTAGCGTACGTACATACATCGGAACGTGGCCTATATAAGGAGCATGTAATAAGGAGAATATATACATGAGTAAGAAAATATTACTGCATAATTCTATTCCATTTAATAATAGTAGAAATTTTCCAAGGCTTGATTATACACGCGGCGAAGAGAATTAATCTTCCTGAGTTAATGTGAAATAAAGCAATTGAAACGTGCGCAGATATTTATCGGGCTTGAGTTGATTCCCAGAAGTTATAACTCTACTGCAGTTGAAACGCAGTAAAAGTTTCTATAGTCGCAGTAATTTCACAAATATCGTGGTACAGAGACGGCTCTGTTCAATCTCCAGATCGCAATTCCGCGGTTAATTCATCGCGACCGAAGAAATGCGAAATAAACAGAGCAGCCGGAGAATTCTTCTCGCGATTACTGAAGCACAAGTGCACGCAGCTCGAAAATGAAGTATCGATCGTGCGTGACCTGTATTGCGGTACAGTGTTGCTAATTAAATCAAATAATAAAAAGTTCAAATGGCGTTTAAAAAACTCGGAAGGACATCTAGGCAAACTTGCAAGTAGTTTAGATTTTATCAGTCTGAAATTTTATTATGTGAAAAGTGTTCAAAAGAGGTTAAAGTAATTTTTGAACTTTTATTTAATTGTTCAGATTATTAAAAAAAGTTTAAAGAATATCTAAAAAATTAAGGGAGACATTGTTGATTTTTTATTTTCGACATCTAAGATATTTAGATATTTGAAAAATTAAAGCCGTGTAATTCACAGTTTGTTTTTATTTTAAATCCGTCTTAAATTATTATATTTAAGATGTTAATACGGCTTTGTAATGACATCTCAAGATTATACTTAAAAATGATTTTAAATAGCGAGAATCGACTACGAATACCAGCTTATAACATTTTTGGAGTTTTAGATGTCTGGATTTTCAGCGGATATTCGAATATCTTTAGGTTTTTGTATCATTGGTCTAAAATATATATGTAAAGAACGTTTGAAAGATTGAAATACGATTTACAAGTTTTTATGGCTTTCTTACAAAATATGATTATCACTTGATCACAATGATCGCGAGATATAAAACTGTTATATTTCCAAGGACAGGTCGCTTTACTTACTTGCAATAATCCAGGGCGGTTCATGTAACCTCCATGACTGCCATAACCGAGATTAGAGAGCATTTCAGGACTAAAGCGGTTGAAAAGGCCACCCCATGCCTCGACACCGATGTAAGCCGTGTTTGCTACAAGCACTAACGTTATCACCGCACACGCCTTCATGCCGTTAGAGATGTACTGATCTTCGGCGCTCTATAATCATTCGAGGGAGAAAGGGTGCTCATATTGCTCATATTAAAATTATTGAAATTCATCAGAGAAAACTCGGCGTAATCGCACATTATCGAAAAGTGAACGTTAATTTATTACGTATTATTGCGCGAATATTTGCAAATGCATTATGCGTGTAAAATTAGGAATATTATTTTTGAGAGTATTTTTTTTTATATACGTGACATTTACATTTCATAAATTTAGCAATATAAGTATTTAGAAATTTCCAAAACATTTGGAAATCTTTTTTTTCTTAATTCATCAGAATCAGAAAGTAAATTTCAATTTTTTATTACTTAAATTTTTACTGTTTTGAAACTGTGACTGACAGTAATGTATTGAAATTACATATTTTATTTAATTACATCTTATATTTGTCTAAAAGTTTCTATGTAAAATTAGATTATATTTACGATACAGCTCGATGCAGCTTACAAAGATAATGACAAAAACAGAATATTTAAATTGCAAAACAGGATAAGAAGGAATTTGTTACCGTTTAGTTTGAAATGAATTTCACTTGATTTTCTCTTCCTTATACCTCTTACGAGTATATTTTATTTCCGTGTTGTTTATCCCGACTGTTTTTGTTGCAAGCAGCGATCCGTAAGACGCAGTTAGCCGTTAGCATCGAACCCGTTTTACATGATGGCTTATCATATCAAATGCCGATGATGTAATGCTTCTACTATACTTTTCTTAAGGCGATCTTTTCACGGTTGCTAGTACAATTTCATAATGCAAAAACCGATAAGAACATTCTTCATGCAAAGTCATCGATTATTATTACTTATTTTTTCTTTCATAATTTCATATCTTTAATTTATTTCTTATGTCACACTAATTAGTAAGGTTCACTAAAGTTCACTATTAGTAAGTTTTATTGCGATTTAGGGTTTTATTCTCGAAAAATATCGCATATGAAAATACTGGGAAAATCTATGATATACATGTATTTTCATATGCGACATTCTTCGAGAATAAGCCCCTAATTTTGCATGATAATAAACTATGATGGTATTAATTAAACGATTAATATTTATAAATATATTAAAATGCAATCGACTGTATTCGTTTAACATGAATATTTAAATTACAATTAATATTTATATTTACATTACAATTAATTAATATTTATATTACAATTAATGATGTGATAGGCATCTTTTTTTTCGAAGAAAATTGTTTCATATAATATATAGTACGAGAAGATTAAATGCGTCAGCATTTAATTGTTTATAAAAGAGGGAAAAATGTAATGAGTTGTGTTCATATTCTATTCATAGTCAAGGAATAATTTATGATTAGCATATGAAATGAATTGCATCAGGTCAATACTAGCAATAACCTCGAATATACAATCGATAATTCGTCAATCTCCCTCTTGTGTTTTTTTAACTGAGATGAAATGTATTTGCGATATTTAGTGCATGTCATTTATATATAAATGGATGTAGTTAAAATAGTAATACAATTAACACGAAATTTCAATCAATCTAAATTTATCCGATTTCTACAGCTCAAATTTAATACATTATCCTTTAATACACAAAAACCACAATCTTAGATAAAAAAAATATTTAAACACTGTTTTTATGAATTTTAACTTCAAATCTATAAATTAATTTATTCTATTTTAATTGTGTTTTAACATACTTTAACGATAGCTACTTTATCTAAAAAAAAAAATAAAAAAAATTGAGAATGTGTCTGAACGTTGAGAACAAGCTTCGAAAAATACAACATATAGGACATTCTAAAACATCTATGCAACGTCTACAATATTACGACACACTGTGAACATCAGAAGCACCTCTTCTATTAACAAGCCATGAGTCACTTACGAAAAGTTCTTGCGCCCTGGCTCAGCTTGCCTGGAACGCCTTTACACTTCGGCCGGGCAGGATTAGCTACCCCTCGCTAGGTGCACACAAGCTCAACAAGTCCTCGGTGGAGTTTGCTGGAGGACTGAGTCCGTGCTGTGCTCGCTTCGGCAATCTATACTTCTACGTCGTTCCGGTTACCGTCACACGGGCGCATATACACAGTGACGCATGCGCCACCCGCTGCCGGCCCGTCTTCTTCTCTTCTTCTCTTTTTTTCGTACCACCCTATTGCGATCTACGTGACATTTTGTTCATTCAGATCTCTTGCTGCTTTGAGTAAGATAGCTGGCCGAAGAAGTCACTCGTACAAATAAATCATCCGAGACTATTCATTCCCTAAGCTCGGAGTATGCAAATTTCTTTGTCAAATGCCCGAAGAAAATTGTTGAATCAAGAACCTACTATTTCTGGCTGATTTGACTCGGAAGGAGCTATAGGTCAATCAGAACAAAGAAGAAGAGGCTACTAATGTTGACAGATGACGCAGCGTCGACAATAACGCGATCGGGTGCAATAATGATACAACGAATCATTGATTTTTAATTAAGAGAAGTTTTTGTCGGTGTTTGATAAAAAATCCAGAGCTACTATGCAGCACCCTTTTTGCTACTTATGCGAAAAAGAAAAAGTCTACAGTTTTACATTGCTTTGAATGCAATCTTTTTACAATCAGATTTGCACGCACAGATTAACTTCTTTCGCAAATTATAATATCACGATCCTTTGGGATACCGTGTTTGCGTCAGAAAACAACTTCAGAAATTGCGATGTTTCTGTAACATCCGGAAGAATAAGCAGCGCACGGTCTACGAAAGGTCAGAGATAATAAGTAATCTCGCTCGTCACTCGTGCGAATTTGACTTTGTGGAGGGGTCCTTTGTACTTTGCAGAATTTTTCTGGTTCTTAATGCCCGTTGTTATATTTATCTCAATTTGAGATTCTCAAGATGTATTCCCGACAATCACGACAAACGAGTACTTCGCCTTCGCGCGCCAGGACACGTTCTCGCCGTTCATCGTGCTTACCTTGCCTCATTTTAGCTCACTCCTCGTTGCACTCCTTATATTATCGCTAGTTTCGTTCTCTCTTGGCCGTATTGATCCAAGGTATCCTGATGTGCCCGCCGGGTGGTCGCTCCTGCTCCATATAGTCCCGTTTATAAACCCCCGCATGCTCTTTCACATATACCAGATGATTGCAAAGCAAAAATCGTGATAGTCTCGTCATTGTTTAATGCTTTTAAATCTGAACTCCTCAATAAGTCTAATTTTTTTTTTTTAGTGAAATATCTTCGAGTGATTTTTTTTTCTCAAAACGCCAGTTTTTAGAAAGCTATTGAGCTAAAAGTTGAAGTTCTCTAAAATGTAAAGTAATTTTTATTCTTATTAAAATCCTTGATGAAAATACTGACGAATAATTTTTTATTACTTTGACGAATTTAAGGAAAGTTTATTTTAAATAGTTAACTTAAACTACTATTATTTTATTATGCCAGGTTTCTCATAAAAATCTTCTAAAAAGAAGACTTTTCACTTAGTTGTTGTTTAAAATAATTATAAATTATAATCAATAGTTTTATAATTATAGTAAGTATAACCTTCACTCTTTCAACTTTAATCTTTTTTGCTAACTAACGGTTGATCTTAAATTCTAATTACGACGTTACTTCCTTTTTCCTGAAAAGGGTACTCAGTGAACATTTTCGTGAAGGAGGAGAACAAAACCGGTAGACGCGCGTAAATCTTGCAGTGACAGATCGCAAATACGCTTACCGTCCGTCTACGATGCAACCACCTGTGTGACGAAATGCCAGAGTACGCAGGTGAACGCATACATGCGTTCTCGCGAGTGCACCGGGTCGCGTCGTGTATGTGTAGTACGTACCATTAAATCGCATCACTTCTTTCCGCTTTGACGTTTCACGGCGTAACTTTGAACGTTACTTTGGTCTTGCGTGCCGTGAATAACAAGTCCTAGACTTCCAAGAAACTTCGTGTCCACTATGATGGAATATAAATGTATATTGTCTCGCGTCGTAATATTACACGCGCATGAATGAGCGTAGGATGGTTTTGTATGATGAATACTCGTTTAATGATCTCGATCACTTACTGAAATTTATTCTCCGCTAAGGTCAGCTGACACGCCATTTAATGGTCCTTTGAATTACCGCGCCCTTTCCTACGTAAACGAAAATACAATATGTGGACTGTTTATACGTGTATTTTCGCTCGAGGTAATTCAATTAATTCAACGCCTTAAATCATTTTATATTATTTGTCCGGAGGAATTTTGCTTTTATTATATTAATGATTACATATGTGATAGTATATTAAAATAGTAATTTTTCTATATAATTATGTTGAAGTAGAGTATTAAATAATATTTTTCAGTCTGATTTAACGTTAATTTCTTCCTAAACAATTTTTATTTTGTAATATTATACTTATTTATATTATTTCTTACTTCATATTTTATCAGTCTTCTCTATTTAAATATTACGAAATTACAGTTGACAATTTGTATTCTGCGTGATATTTTAAATACAAGAAACACAATTGATACGTGTAATTCCGTAATTTCTTATCTTGCGAGATTTATGAGGAACTACTACAACTAATATCAATTGTAATGCAATATTAATAATGATAACAGTACTTTCAAGAAGTTTGTTCTATTCTGAATAGAATAACTGTATATATTTTATGCATAGCTAACATAATAAAGAGCGTATTCACAAAGATCCTAATCCGGTAGCACGACATTTCGTTCCCCTATAAAGCTGTACACTTTGCTATTATTTTCCCATTTATCACAGATGCACAGAATTAATAATCACAGTATAACGAGATAACAAGGGGATTGCTCTAAGATTAACTTAAAGATCTTTTAGAAAGATATATTTTAGAAATTAATTATAATAAAAAAAAACTCATATTTATGAAATTTCATTTATATAATAAAAAGTAACCAAATTTTTCTAAAGCTTAAATTGTTTTGTCTTCTGGAAAATTGTAGAGAATCGCTGGCGGCGTATAACGGTATTTGAATGGATTGATTAA